GGTGGGGGGAGGAATTAATCACTGGTAAAGAGATTTGGGGGGCTGATGACTAATGTCATAAAACTAGTTGGTGTGATGGTCGCACGATTTTGTAACTATACTAAAAAATAATGGATTTTATACACTTAAATGGGTGAAGTTTATACTACTTAAAAAAAAAAAAAAGGCGGAACAAGGGCTCCATCGGAAAGTGGGGGACACACGCTTCCTGGACCAGGAGTCAGGGTACCTGGGCACTCACCCCACCCTGCCATGCGGCTTCCCTTGGTCACTTAGGTTCTCTGTATTTCTGTTCCCCCAACACACACGCACATCCCAGTGGTAATCCCAGAGCACAGTTCCTGAGAGCCTACGATGTGCCAGGCACGATTCTGAACCAGTTACACGCAGCATTGCATGGACTCTCCCAGACCTGAGGAGGGCGTAGTATTTCACAGCCAAGTCTAGAGAGCTGAAGCAGCTTGCTGACGGTTAAACAGCTGGTAACAAATGCATGGGGCACACCCACCGGGTCATTTCTCCCAAGGGAGCCCCCCCTGCAGCTCCAGTGCTCAGGTTCCGTATTTGGCGGAACATGTCAATTCACACTTCAAAAACTTCTCTCCTCAAACCTTTAGATCGCCAGAAATTGTCTATGTTCATGCCAATTCTTTTTTAGTATGTGTCCAAAATGCAAATATGTAATTTATGGATCACTTGTCATGGTCTAAACATCCTCATTTTGAGTCTGCCCTCAGCCTTTTATAAAAATGAGCTGCCAGAGAGGTTTCTCAGAGAGGGGCTGGCTGATGTTCTGCACTTGATCTTAGCCAAAAGCCCGAGAAGCGATGGGGCTGGCTGATGTTCTGTGTCTGCCATACTGAAAAATATTTTGGAACCCTCAGTAGTACCCCTGACCCTTCCTCATACGACAGAACCTGAGCAGAAAGTTCTTCTTGTTCCCTCCAAATATACCTGTGCCCTGCCGATCTCCGGATCACCAGATAGGCGTCAACCGCATAGCAAAACAGCCACCAGAAGCAGGCGCTATACAACAGCTGGATCCACATCTGTAATCAGGAAGAGCCTGGCATCAAAGCTCCTGGAAACAGGCAGCAGATTGCCCCATCCGTGAAATGAGCTGGCAGATGCCTCTTTCCTGTGACGTCAGGAAGCAGGACACGAAAGCCGTCCGGAGACGCGCGGACGGTCTGGGAACGCAAGGGTGGGATGCGGCCCAGGGCGGGGTGTCCCTTGGTGCTCGGTCTGCTCGGGGGGGGACTGCACTGGCCAGCCCTGCCCTCCAGTACTCTCAAAGGCATGGAAGATGAAGGCCTCAGATGTGAGGCCTAAACTGGCGTGAGGGCTCACGGCGCCTGTGAAGGAGCAGCTCTTTGCTGAGAATGAGGGAGTACGGGGCAGGAAAGTGCTTCCCAGAAGCGGGGCAGGAAGGGGCTCGGTATGTTATGGGCAGCACGAGACTGGTGTGCCTCCAGGGGTGGGCTGGGAAGCAGTGTGGGCAGAAGGGAGAGAAGCGGAGAATTGTGCTACGGCGTGGTACACAGAAGTATAGATACGTCTATTTCAACGCAGATTTCGTCAAGCAGAATACATCCAATCAATCACTTTCTTCTTTCTTTTTCTTTCTGGCCAGCTGGTTTTAACTGCAGCTCAATCTAAGGTAATAAGGATGGTCTATGTGTGCTCAGAAGTGGGGGCAGGAAGAACCACAATACAGCAGTGGTTCTCAAACCTCAGTGGGAGTCAGGAGCCCCTGGATTTGTTACTCCGCAGACCGACCCCACCCCCCAAGGTTCCTGATCAGCAGGCTCTGAGAATTTGCATTTCTGACAAACCCCAGTGGGCTGAGACCACGCTTTGAGGACCGCAGCCTAAGAGGAGCACAGGGGGGAGAAGAGGGTGAGCAAAAGCCAGGGGTACTTACCGCACTCCCCACACAGTACGCAGCAGGCCAAATGTCTGTCCCATTCACGGCGGCGGGGTTGTCAACGAAATTTGGGAATCCTAGCCACACCGCAGACCGCAATACAATACCTAAGAGAGAATTAGAGGATATAGTCATCCCGCGGGGGGATGCATTCCAAGACCCCCAGTGGATGTGGAAACTGCAGATTGTACTGAATCTATGTTTTTTTCCCTTACGTGCGTTCCTGGGACAAAGCTTAGTTTATAAATTAGGCACAGTAAGAGATTAACAACTAATAATAAAATAGAACAGTTATAACAATAGACGGTCATGGAAGTCGTGTGAGTGTGGTCTCTCTCCAAACGTGTTACTGTACTCTCCTCACCCTTCCTGTGGTGGTGTGAGAGGATAAGGTGCCTGCGTGATGAGATGACGCGGGCATCGTGATGTAACGTGAGGCTGCCAGGACCTTCGGCCGGCACCCGGGAAGGAGGAGCACCTGTTTCCGGACCACAGAGCGCTGGGGGGGGGGGAGACAGAACCCGCGGAAAGCCAAACTGTGGCTGAGGGTGAACTACCGTGCTTTGTAATGGTCCTAACTCACATCTAAAGCTGACTTGGTGCTCTCTAAAGTAGATGGATGTAAGGATAAATACCTGAGAAGGGACAGAGAAAGAAATGAGGGAGGAAAGAAACACACACTTGGGTGTGTACAGAGAGAGAAACAAAGGAGATCCAGGGAGTAATTATTTCGGTCACAAAGCAAGCCCAGGCACTTTGATTTCAACTTAAACCATCATTAGCCACAGTCCTATCCCTAATGTGTTCTTTGTTTACTCGATATGAAGCAACTATGTGATTAAAAATCTGTATTTCTGGCTATTTTTTTAATGTCCATATTAAATATTCCTCACAGAAAAAAATGATTGAAAAAGCATGATTCTGAAATGTAAAAAGATAATTCTTTCATTCTCTGAAAAAAAATGCATTTAAGATTTTCACGAATTAGCTCTCGGCAATTTGCTCTTGACATTTATTATTTGTAAGTTTTCTTTGCTACTAGACCCAAATTTCTAATTCTCCTCAAAACAGTATACATCCTTAAGGTACATATAGAAAACTGCTTGTTAGGTAATGTGATATGCTTTGTCTAAGCATATGCTATGTAAAACGATACTAAAGGGTAACTGTAAACAGTATAAAGTTATATACTATGTACTCATGTACACTAATATAGTGTGTAATACACTATTAAATATACAATGCATGATACACTACTAGACACTGTAATACACCACCAAACTGACACTGCATACTCTACTACCAAATATATACTGTATAATGCATCGCCAAATACCGGGGCGCCTGGGTAACTCGGTTGAGTGTCTGCCTTCAGCTCAGGTCATGAACCCAGGGTCCTGGGATCGAGCCCCATGAACCCAGGGTCCTGGGATCGAGCCCCGCACTGGGCTCCCTGCTCAGCAGGGATTCTGCTTCTCCCTCTTGCTCTGCCCCTCCCCCTTGCTTGTGCTTTCTCTCAAATAAAATCTTTAAAAAAAATACACTCTAGTGTGCGATATATTACCAAATATACATTATGTAATACAATACCAAATTTATATTATGCAACATACCATTAAAGAGGAACTATGGACACTAAAAAAGATACTCTTCTCATTATCAAGCACTGCTCACAAAAATAATGCTTTTCTTCTGTAGAATGCTTTATCATTTTCAGCATCTAGCACTCCTCTGAGCTCAATAAATGCCCTACATATTTTTGTATTGATATGAGCTGATGAATGTCAACTTATTGTGGTAAACATTTCACAAGATGTGTATCTTAAGTCATTATGCTGTAGATCTTAAATTGTTATTGTGCCGTATATCAATTATAACTCAATAAAACTGAAGAAAAAAAAAAAAACCTCTGCCCTATGAGGTAGGCATCTTAAGTATTTATTTTTCAGTGAGGTGTCAGTCACCAAGCCTTCCCCTTAATTCTGCCTCTGCTCATTTGTTAACATCATGCATCTCCCTTCCCAAACCAAGAGTGTATACAAATATTATTCCACCTATCCTCAAAAGATATTTAGGTGTATCTTTATTTCCAGATATTCAAGTTACAGAAACTAAACTGCTATTAAGATGTCTTTCCACACATTCTGCATGGAGCACTGGGTGTTATGCACAAACAATGAATCATGGAACACTTCATCTAAAACTAATGATGTAATGTATGGGGATTAAAATAAGAATAAAAAAAAAAAGATGTCTTTCCAGGGGTGCCTGGGTGGCTCAGTTGGAAGAGTATGTAACTCTTATCTTGGGGTTGTGGGTTCGAGCCCTATGTGGGGTGTAGAGATTACTTAAATAAAAAAAAAAAAGATGCTTTCCCAAAATATTTTAGTAGAATCAGGAAGAAAACCAATTTCTGATTTAATTAACCAGCACCAAGATGATTTTATCCCTAATACAAAGGAAGTACTTCTTCCTATCGGACTCCTCGGGTCTGAGAAAGTGACCAGAGGTTCCGCAGCATTTACCGGAAGTAAAAAAGGTCCTTGAGGGTCTCCAATCACAAGCGCATGGACCGGGAGAATGGGGCCCTGAGACACAGTCACCTGTAGCTCTACCTGCTCGAGGTGGGGTAGGAACTGTTGCCATCCCCTCAGGGCCCAGCTCCAGTACCATCAACAGCCCTTGCTTCAAAAGCAAAACGACTGAAAAGTACAATTCCGAAAAGGTTAGCACCTGTCAGCCAAATGCAGAGTGTGGACTGTATCTGGATGCTGATTCAAACCAACCAACTGTAAAACAGCATTTATGACACAATCGAACATACAGCAATGACATTAAAGGACTGATTTTCATTATTTTAAGGTGATAATACTAATGTGATATATATATATATATATACACCCACATATATGTATTTCTTTTTTTATAAAGATTTTCTTTTTTTTTTTTTAAGATTT